CGGGAATTCGGGTAGACGTGTATCATGGGAACACGGGAGTGGCACCTAAAGAAAGATGGGTGTCCCATTTCAATACCAGGTTTTGATCATGTCAGTGCTCCGGGGCACGCGATGCGGAGGACATTGCGGAAGAGCTGCTGAAGCGTCGCAAGGAGATGGACAGTTTCAAGGACCAGCTGGAGGCGGAAAATGATTATTTGTCCTCTCGCGCAATTGCCACTTTCTGTAAAGCAACAATGACTGGAAGAAGTTTAAAGATTTACAAGAGAGGAGTTGGTTTAAATCTAACAATTAGGATTAAGAGAAATAGCAAGAACAATATTAATAAGCTTGGTGCAATTGTTGTACATATATATATATATATTGGAAGACTTGGACAGCTTACTATGATCGTTGGTTCACATGATGCCACAAGAACACGCGCAACATCACACAGCAATCATAATAATGGTAAATGATGCATCAGGCAGCTGAATGTTGTGATTGCAATTCGGACACGATCCAGTTTTGATCTGATGATGTCAATACAAGGTAATTTATATACACATGTGATACATACACCTAATAATCAACATACATGTACGTTGTTGCTTGTCAAGGGCAGCCAGGCAAAGGTTCTTCACTTGGGCGCGAGGTCTTGGAGTCTCGCGGCAACGACCAGGGAGGCGATGGGGGGAGTCCGGCGTGGTGTGTGTGGCAACCTGGTATTGGGTTAGGAGCTAGCCCTGGGACCCATCAGAAAGCCCTGACTGTGGGAATGAGGTCGGATCACTATGGTTTGGCCCATGGTCAATCTGGGCTTGGGAACTGCGAGGCAAAACAAAATCAGCCTGGACTCACGAATCTGCCCGTAGCCTGACCTACAAGAGAACCAAGCTGCGATCAGCCCATGACGCTTCCCAACTAGTGAGGGAGACTGGCATTTTTTTTGCATACCCAAACAATGGAGGCAGGGTTGAGGAGCCCTGCACTTTCTGCGGGTTTGGATTAGGTGCTACCATGAAAGAGCTCGCAGAGCTGCTGGAAATCGAGTGCAAGGCACGGGAAATGTGTTTCTTTTGTGGCCGAACATGTCGATCCATGTGTTGAATATCAGCTTTGGGCCAAATTGAGTCGAGATTCCTTCAAGTGGGTGATGTTTTTTTTTTTTTGCGGGGATATACATGGTCAACAATTGGGAGCCCTGTGACTTGCTCTTGGAAGGTGATGTTCGGTTCAGCGCGGGGATCTCGCATTGAGCATGGTCGGTCGGAGTATTTATCGCTGAAGGCCCGCAAGAATGACGTGGATGATCTTCGTCATCAGTGCCCGCCTCAGTCCATGCGCGGTTGGAGGGGCACATTCCTAAAAAGGCAGAGGACAGGCAATTATGGGAACCCTTGATTGGCTACATTTGGCACTCCTTGGAGAAAGGGCATGCTCCCACTGAAACCAGCACTTTGGGAATCCTATCCTTCAAGGCATCATGGGTTTCTAGTGCAGCTCACCATTAGGCTGCAGCTCACCGAAGCCATCATTGCAGAGCGCACTTCGCAGGATGCGGGGCGCCTGGTAGGCCTTTGATTGTGGTGGGCGAAGGGGCGAAGGGGAGCACTGGAAATCCATCCGTTGCCGGCTCCAAATTTCAAGAACAACACCTGGGGCCAACTTGTATGTCCTCTTGGGGAGCGAGTTGAAGGTACTCTGTTGGCGTTGGTTTGGAAGGAATCCAAAAGGAAAACAACATGTCGCTGGTTTTTCTATTTTGAGACAACTGCAAGTTGTCCCTGACTCTTGAGGTAAGATCCAGGAATCGAGGCACTACCTCCGAAGTGTAACTTTCAGACGTATTCGGTACAGCCTGCTGCCTACAAGGACCATTGAGCAAGGGGTGGGATGATTAAAAAATAGACATACTTGTATTCTTGCAAACCGAGTGGATGTTGCTTGCTTTTGGGGGGGGGTTCAAAGGACAAGCCTTCCTTCGCACATCTTTGCACATTTCAGGACCATTGATGACGGTGTTTGGTCGGACCTTTAGTTGCTCGATTGAACAGTTGTGTTTGCGACTCGGCAAACAAGTGTTCACTTTGGCTCGCTTTTTGTTTTCTTCAACCTTTGAGTGTTTTCTTGCAAGATATGGTTTCCCACAGAAAACCTGTGGCCCGGGATGTGCCGGAGGGTCGAAATTGGACGGGTGCATGCTGGGTGCATGGCCCCAGCCCCTCAGACCAGCGGCTGGAAGGTTCAGCACACCTTGTCGGACCTGGACATCCGAGTGGGACGTTTGGCCCGACACCTGGATGACATGAATCCCCTTAAATGGCTGTGGCTCAAAAAACCGGTACCAAAATCGAACCCTGGTAAGTGGAAACATGGACCAAAGCCTTCGTAGCCCCTCCTGTTTAATTTTGAGCCACGCCCAAATGATGTCCAAAGGGCTCCATAAAATCTCACGCCATTGGTGTGACTTTTCGGTGGAACACTCTTTTGGCTTCGAGGGAAAACTATGTTGGTGGCTGGGCAAATGGCACAATGGGTTTTGGTTTGCGAGGCCCTCGAAATGGCCTTGTGGTGTGCTTGTGGTTGGAGGAGAACCATCCATGGCTTCATTTCCAATTGGTGGCACAATGCACCCCCAAAAAGCCACATGATGCATCCCAAGAAAAGAGTCCCAACGATTATCACGAGCCACGGTACGACGGAGGAATGTGGCCGGAAAAGTCTTTCCAACATGATATGAACTGCAAAGTTGGCAGCAACCAGATTCAAGGCGTGCTCCACGTGAGGTGAATGCGCTGGAGACCGAGCGCGACCATAGACGTTCAGACAGCGTCCTCATCCTCAGCCATACGGATTTGGGGCGGAAGTAGCCAAAGCGCAGGTCAGACAGGTCATGATGAGGTCGGGTGGTTGTTTGTGATTCCCTTTGTGTATCGTGCTTGTTTTGCGGTCTCGTTTGTGCATGTGTGCATCTGTGTATGTGTGTATGTGTCTGTGTGTCTGTGTGTGTGTCTGTGTTTTTGTGTCTCTGTGTGTCTGTGTGTGTGTGTGAGTCTGTGTGTCTGTATGTGTGCGCGCGCGCTTGTCTTTGTACATTTGTGCACACATCACTCAATGTGACATCAGCATCCTTTATGTTTGCAGTTGAGGACCGGTACCAGGCAGCTCTGAGCGATGTGGCAGACTCTCTCAAGGCTTGGGTTCGGGTCACCAATCCCACATGTCCATAGGTGTCCTACTGGTTGACTTCTTTCAGTTTGGTTCCTTCTCATTTATTTCCCCATGCCAAAGTGCGACGCGGGAGTCCATCCTGACGGCCAAGTTGAGCACATCTGTGGGCGATGTGAAACTTAGGTAGCATAGCTTGACGTTTATCTCGGTCCATTTTGGATGACCATGTTGTCTAAAAGGCATATAGAACGTCCCCCTGGTTGCCAATAGCTTTTCTTGTTGGAACACGACTGGCATGTGTTTGCACGTCCGGTCAAGACCAGCCGAGCGGGGCATCTTTCTACCAAATCCACCTGGAATCAAACAAAAGCGGCCCGCGCCCCAAAGGAGATTCCGTACCAAAACATGTTTTTCTCTGCTACTGTCAATTAGCAGGAGGGTATTGTGACTGGGAACCTGATACTGGGTACTAGGCTGAAGTTGAACCCGTGCTCCATTGAGACTTCCTCTCTTCCAACTCATGGCTTGCAGGCAGAGCAGAAGATTCGTGCCGGCGAGGCGGGAGACGAGCGCAGAACCAGAGTTGCTGTTGACGTGTCCAACACCAACACTTAGAACGCTCAAAAACTATTTGTCATTCTCTTGGTTTTAGTTTATGTTAGTGATGGCTGAGACCAAAAGAGAACGAATTCCTGGGTTTTGAACCCAGTAGGTCTAGGTGGTGTGTGCTATGTAGTTGCTGTTGAGGCTTGCCGAACTAAGGTTTAACCTTATCGAAACCATTGCCTTCCCGACCAGCAAAACGGTGAACTTGTAGGGGCTCAAAGACCAACCTAGTCTTACCTTGCGGGGGCCAAAGGGAAGCCAACCACTTTGGCGTTCCTGATTTGAATCACCATGAGGATTGGGGGGGTCGTTGATTCCAGCTGGTGGGCTTCGGGAGCTGGAAAACATGATATTTTGGCTTGGCCAGATTATTTTCTGGATACGCCCTCACAACGGTCGGTGTTACTGTAACCCTCAGCATGCGGAGGTGGTTGAGCTGATACTATGCAAGGATGTGTTCACTCCAAAGTGGGTGGTTCCTTCCACTCTTCCTGAGTGCCCTTCCGCCTTTTGTCCTGAAATGAACTGTAGACATGATGTGTTTGTTCTGTAATGGCAAGTGCCTAGAGCCTCGCACACCCGCCTTGTTTGCTCTTCGGCAGCTTGATGCAGACTGGACTGACTGGACTGGCTAGGGAGGTTGTGCGGGCCTGCTATGTTAACCTCAAGAAGAGAAACATTGCAGTGAAGCAAGGAAGGCACACGAAACGGGTGCTGGGACCACAGAACATGGGGTGTAGCTGGGACAGCATGGGTACGGCTTGGCGTGGGTCGTTTCTTGTTTGACTATATGCGGAGGTACTTGCAAGTGTCACAGGAAAGTCCGGACATAGATCTGCTCGTTGAGCTTGATCTTAGCAGGTTTTTGCCCAGACCGGCCCCCGGCCTCACACCTTGGCTCAGAATGAACTCAAAACTGTCGACACACAGATCTTCCATTGCTGAAGGGATGGTTCTGGTTGCCCTCGTGCTTGATCCGCTCTCAGAGCTAGCAAAGATGGGCAACAAGGGCATGCAGCGCGCCCTATGCAGAGTGTCAGCCATGGATGGAACGTATTACCGTCAAGCAAGCAAATGCATTCATGCCACACTATGGACTTGGAAACCGATTTCCCTGTGTGGACACCTGTCTTGCAAGGCTCGGTTATGTGACTGACTAGTGTGGCTAGTTTTGACCCTTGCATGGATGCTGAGTGCACGCTGAATTAAGCGCCATTCTGGCCTCGCTACAAGCAGACCCAATGGTTGTGCCGGCATGTTTGACACTCAGAATTAGGTGGGGTTCGTGGAACACGGAGATTTGCTTTTCGAGACTAGTTCTGGCACCTGCACTTCGCATTTAAATGGCACACGTCTGCAAAGTAACACAGAACCCAGAACACCAGTTTAGGGGTCGCCTGTTTGGGAAATGGACCCCTTTTTGGGGGTCAGAGAAGCACAAGGTGCCATGGTACAGTGAATCCCAATGCAGCGGAGAAAGGGAAAACACCGTGGGGTCGCTCCATGCTTTGAGAGGGACACTATATAATAATATACACCCTTCAAGGTGCCCATCGTGGTTCCTTCTTTGATGGGACAGGTGTTTGTTTGGGTTGTTTTGTTTCAAAGTGGACGCCAGGGGGAAAACCACTCTAATTATGTTTGGGGTTCACAAATTTGATACGAACCCAAGTCCATGTCATTGGGAATTGGAGATTAGGATCCTTGGGCAATGACAATTCCAGGAGGAAGCAGTCTTGATTCCTAGAAGTCGTTGTTTGGCAAAGGACGCACAGGAAAGCCAAGTGTGACACAGGTATTTCGGATTCAACTAAAGGCCGAGAGAAGACGGTATCTTCGGTCTGATCATAGGGTTCTGCGTTGCCAACACATCCGACCCGAAGTGGCGAGGGGACAGCTCTCTTGCAGCCGCCTTTCTAAAGCGGCCCTTTGACTCATGGGACTTGGGTCAATGAGAGCGTCGGGGGTTTGATTCTCTCACAGCGACAATCAAAACCCGGGTAGACAAAGGTTAGTAAGGGATACTCCCAACGGATAGCTGCCGATATCCGCCTTCTTAATTCTTTACATGGTTCTGGGTCATTTTACTACCGGGTTTTGATTCTCTCACACGGATTGGCAAACCCGTCGCTGGCCAGGCCCTTTGGCTTTGTGCTGTGTCTCGCCATGAGTCAGGTGATTGCATTCCGTGGGGAGGGTCACAATTTCCCTTGCGGATAGAACGTACAGGGGTAGCTCTAAAGACCTTTAGAGGGTTTCTACACTTTGAAGTCTCTGAGTATTTGCGCGCAAAGGTGGGTGAAGATGCAGATCGCTTTGTTCGTTTTCCAGACCCCATATGTTTCAGTGACCCCCTATTCCGTGATCTCTCGTATGCCGTCAGAACACCTGGATGCACAGGCTTAGGGATGGTCATACTTGTTTCCCTGTTCTCTATGTATGGATGAAGGAGCCTTCCAGCTGAATCGGGGATTCGTGGATTCGTGTGTGTGTGTGTTTTCCCAAACGTTCACAGGGATGGTCATGACCAGTGACTTTGCCGTGATGCATGAAAGAGAAGCGTTTGCTAGGACCTGGCTTGATTGACGTCTCCTGTGCTGTTGGTATGCGTGTAGTTGCAGATCGTTCGACACTGTCATCTTGATTGAGTGTAGGTTGGTTGCAACATCTCCACTTGGTGCTGGCTGGCTATGGGCCATATGCCTGTTTTGCTTGAGTGAACATTTTGAGGGATTCGTTCTCAAATGGACTTGTTGGTCTTCCGTGGTCTTTTGCAAGCCCAGCATTTTCATTTGGCTATTGAGGAACTGGCCGTGGACCGGTGTTGTCTTTTTGTTTAGAACCTTCGGCAGCGAAATGACTGTGGGTCAAAATCCCGTACCCCCAGTGAACATCCCAATCCCCACTAAAATAGACTAAAACCTACCCCAGAATGCTACCATTGGTTTTGACCCACAGCCAAATAAAGCCAAACCCATCCGAGGCGGCCGCTGCAGGCCTGGCAGTTCTTTGCGCCCTGCCGCTGAATGTGCAGGCGCGGGCGGCCAAGTTGGCCAAACGCCTCACCTTGCGACGGAAGGCGAAACAGGGGCTGCAGTTGCTTGGTGGCTCGCAGCCACCCCTCAGCTTTTTAGCCTTTTAGTGTGGTAGTTTCCATTTAACCCACTAAAAGTTACACTTTTAGCGGGGGATCTGAGGGCAGCCCAGGTGGCTCTTTGCTTCTGCCCAGCCGTTTGACTTGGAGAAAGGATCGTCCCCCCCAACAAGGAAACATGTTCAAGTTGTCAAAGAAAAAACCCATTTGGTTTATGTTGGTTTTCCTTTTCAAGCCAGACGCAAAACCTAGGTTGGTGGGACAGTCCCCCCTTACGTGTGGGTTCCCCCGATTTCCGCTACAATTCACCCAGACGAAGTCCTTGCTGTTTCGCGGTCAGCTCCTTCAAAGGCTGTCGGCTCTTTGCCAAAAGAGGAGGCGAGACTTGGCTCGATCGAGCGACCGCAAAAAAGGCCGGATGTTTGACCAATTTGCAGACCTGGGGTCCAGGTCCTCATCCATCAAGCCCTCTATTTGTGCTTATTGGTCCTTGGTGAAAGGAGTTGCTGGGCCAGAAGCAAAGAGAGGTGCTTTCTCCCGGGTTTTCTTGTAGAAACCCCAAAAAGGGTACCAGCAAATGACACCCATGTTCAAGAGCCCCAGAAGCTGCGCGCCAGGTCTTGCCCAATGATGCTGCCTTTGTTTACGAAGGTTCCGCCTCGGCGCGGGAGTCATGGGGTGGGGCTGAAGCTTCAAACTTGGGAGGAAACGCAAGGGTCATCACAGGATTCAAGAACTGTGGATGGACAACATATTGCATGTGTTGGGTTTCATCCACCCTACGAATACTGGGATAAAACAAACTCTATGAATACTGGAATTACGCATTTCAAATGGTGCTGGATTCTGTCCATGCACAGCATGACTGATGTGGACAAATTAAAAAATCTCACCTCTGCGGAATGGCTGGAAGGATGAAACACGCGAACTTCTCCATGTCTCCATCCCGCTGAGGGGCTTTGTGTGGGTTTAATTTGGACCGGAAGAGGCAGCATGAAGGACCAGTTTGATCGACAGCTTTGGTCAAAATGCCCAGTCTACGCTCGATTTGAGGTTCAGGACCTAGCGGACAAAAACTAACATTCACCTGCAAGATTCCAGACACGCAGTTTTCGTAAAGGGAGCATGTTCGCGAGCTCGACACAAAACCACCCAAACCGCTGTGGGTTCTAAACGCTATCAAAATCTTTGGTGGCTAGCTTTTCAGCTTTTTAGATGCTTTTTTTTTAGCTTTTTAGTGTTTTCCATTTGGCCCACTAAAAGTTAAGCTTTTAGCGGATCTGAGGACAGCTCAGAATCCAGGCCGTTTGGACCAGATCTTTTGACCGCCAGGCCGCTGGCTGAAATCGGAGTCCGAAGCCTTGGCGGACTGGCCTTGCACGGGTCTCCGGTTCCAGGTGCAGGCAGGGAGTTCTGAGAGTGGCGGGTGCGTCCTTTGTTGCCTATGTTTGGGGGGTTTTAAAGGGACAATAGGGGAGAAACCCTACTTTTTGGGTTCTTTGCAGGGGAAACGCAATCTGCTCGACAGTGCTGTTTGTTGCTTTTGAGCTCATTGGCTGAAGGTGTTTGCTTCCGAGCACGAATCTTTAACACATTGATCTGACTGCCTTTAGGTTTGACCTTTCAATCACGCGGCAACACACCCATCATTTCTTGCATTTCCGCAGTTTCAACGAACCAATATATATATATATATATATATAATGGCTTGCTTGGGCCCCCCTTTCTTCACGGACCTTTTGAAAGGGAAAGGCCAACAAGACGCGAAGATTTCCGAACGCCCTTTGCGCCGCCCCCCTCCGAATCCGCTTTTTGTTTTCTTCTTTCCGTTGGGGGTTGTTCGGCTCCGAGCCGGGGCTCGAGCCCGGGGCTCCGGGGCTCCGGGGCTCGAGCCCGAGGCCTCCGCGCCGGGGGAGTTCTCGGTGCACTGGCACAGCCGGCTGAGCCGCGTGAAGCTCACGGCGCGGGATGCCCAGAGAGAGATAGGACTCGAGGTCGATTGGGTCGATTCAGGGACCGAGGGGCCGAGGGGTTCACAGGCGTCCAAAGAGTTTGGTGTTTTTTTTTTGAGTCTTAAGGAAGGAGCTTGGGCCTGTTCAGATTCGTTTTGGCCAATGTTGAGAGTAAAGTCGAAAGTTGTTGGACATGAACCTTTTGAATGATTCCCAAACTAACAATTCGCGCCCGTTTGGCATCGGCCTGTTGCCTTTGGTAAGGGTGCACTGCTCTGACGAGGCTCAGGTGCTATTCCGAAATATGAACGATACCCTCCCGCCAATCATGGAAGCTGATAGGAAGGTGTGGGACTGCTTTCCTTTTGGAGAACCTCCCTGTCCACTTCCGTTGTTGCAAGGGTAAATAGCAATTTCATACGAAAGTCACGGGGTCAAGCTTTCAAATGACCTGTGAAGAAGGTTTTTTCTTGGAGATGGTTGTCTTGAGAGGGGGGGGGGGTCATGATTTGTTGTTTGCTGACCCCTGAAGCGCAGCGCTGGCTGTCCTCCTTATCAATAAACCTTACGTAACCTGAGATAGCCTCCTATGAGATACCCGCCTTACCATGCCTTACCTGCTTGGCATTGAGCAGGTTGAAATTTTCACAAAGCAAGCTGCCAAGCCTTGTCATGCTGGATTTCCGGGCGGACGGATACGCATATTGCAAAAGCGGTGATGCCGCGCCGTTCGCAGAGTGAGGAAAACTATACTTCCAGCCTGTTAGGCCATTATCCAGGGCACGCAATTAGTTTGACACATCTTTTTCGCTTAAAAGGACGGCTCACGGGGACCACAACTATGACATCTCCGAATGGCTTCTTAATGTGTGCGAGTGTGCATTGCTCTCTGCTTGCGTGTGTGCGCGTATCACAGCTGTTGTTGCTTTTCGTTTCAGACTCTTAATGTGCAGCTCAACACATTGCGTGATGTGTGTAGCATTGTGCAGTGTACATGTGTCGTTCATCGGGTCACTGCAGCGTCTTGCCCAAATCACTCGGCATGCTACATGTTCATAAACTGACGGTCACGAAACATGGACCAGAATCTAAGTACCTTGGAACAAAAGCTGAGATAGCTTGTACGGAATTTGAAGGGAACCTTTGACCCTGATCCAAGCAAGGAACATCTATGTCATAAGAAGCGTGGATCTGTCCATGAGACTCGCTGAAAGAAAAGCACCGAGGTCGATGGCGAGGCGAGGGAGTTTGGGTCTTGGCTCTTTGCGCAGCACTCCACGGAGGTGAAGTTGTCCAAAGCAGGCGGGGCCGCGGCGCCTTTTGGGCCGCGGGGCATTTGGTCCGCGTTTTTGGCCTGTTTGGGGGTTCGATCGAACGATCGACTTTGTGGGTGAGCGTGGGGGGCTTTGATCGGACAGCAAGCAACCGCGGATCAGACTTTGGATTTGAGGCAACTTCACGGTGACGCTCCGCAAGTTGAGCGGCTCTCATCCGCTGGGCACCGGCCTGGGACGGTGGCTGCCCTCGCGCCTGGCGCCTGGGCGTGGGGTTTTGAGTGGGGGATTGAAACCGGGCCGCTCTGAGAATGACCCAGCCATAAGGGCAATTCTGGACAAGTAGTATTGAGTTCTTTGGTTTTCCTTTTCCAGGGGCCAAGTTTCTGAATCAACAGGGTCTGCTGTTGATTGCAGGGTGCCAGTTTTCGAACGGCCACAAGGTGGACTAGGTAGACTGAAGCCGGGGGGAGAATCTGGAGGGATGCAACCAAAACGTCGAACATGACATTAGCCATTGGCCGGAAGACTTGTCCGGTGTCACCGAGTACGAATGGTCTCTTGAGTCTCTTGGCTATAGTAAGAGTGGATCCGCAAGGCTTTCTGCTTTGCCATGGGCCATGCCTAGTCAAGACTCCCAAAGGTTCAGTTTTGATTTCGAGGTCCTTTGGTTTCAAGTTTCGAGTCCCAACCAACTCAAACGAAGGAAACAGTCTGACACGCCAACAGGTCGACAGCGTTGCCCGGCTCAGGCTTGATTCGGTGCCCTAGACCATAAATAAATCGCTGAGCCACAATCAAAACCTGGGCAGATGAAGATTTGTAAGGGACAGCCCCAACCCCGAAAGGTGCAGCAATAGATCGTGTTGTTTCTCATAGGTTTCGGGTAATTTCGGGGTAGACTCTTTCTATACCTGGTTTTTGCTCTCACTCAAAGGGATGCTCGTCCCCATTTGAGTCACAAGAGTCACCAGTGCCTGCCAGTGAGTTACTCAGGTCCCAAATCAAATGCTCCACACATCCATTCTGAAAAGGCAGTTCCCAGTGCAACGAGTTCACCTTTGACGACTTTGGACAATCCGAATCATCCCATATTGAAATGTTCAACAACTGTTTGGCTTGCGTGTTGTTCCTCTAAGACGGCAAGAAGTATCGTTGTGAGCCTCACACCATGTTCCCGAGGCCTCTCAGGGATGTTTGGTTGATCCGCTGTGTCACATGAAACGTCCGCATGTTTCGAACCCTAAAGGGCGGAGTAAGTGAGTGGTTCCCTTTCTCCAAAGGAGGCAATCCCCTGCACTCATGCCATTCCTCGAGGTTCCATCTATTCGTTCCAATGAATATCCCCTGCAAGTCCAATACATGTTTCAAAACCACCCTCTAAGGGAGAAAACAAGTTGGAACCCTGATGAAAGTTGAGTGCAAATCAACAGGAAGCCATTTGCAAGCTACATTCCTCCAATTGATGCCTTCCTGAGCAAAACAACATCCCCTTGCCCATTTTTGCGGAGAAGATGCAAAACACCGCGCTTGATGAAACGAACGCTCCGCCAACCCAGGCGTTCCGGGGCTTGGGGCCTTTACCTCCCCAGCTGCAGCTGCGGCGGCCGCCCAAAAGGCGACGCAGGCCCATGAACTTTCGAGCCTCGCCGTGTTCCAAGCGGATCCCATGGAGAAGTCTGCGCCAAGGATTTCAACTTTTGCCTGCTCCAACTTTCAACTGGCATCGGATGTCAGATTGCTTGACGACTTTGAACAGCTGCTGGAAAGGGCAATTTTGCTTGCTCACGAGCCTGGCGCGTGCTCAAGCTGCAAATGGGAGGTTGCTTTGTCCTCCCTCTGCTTTTTTTGGGGCTGGGTTTGGCAGGTCAGCTCGTGGTTGGCGTTGTGACGGTCCCTTTCATTGCTCATCTCAAGTGCATGGATTAATTTAAGGGATATGGGGCGCTGGCAAATGGCCGGCTTCCTCTTGAATTCAACTTTCAACAAGGGGCTGCGGAGGGTTGCAACTTGTTTTTTGATATTCCAAGTCCATCTAAGTTTCTGTTGGCTGCAATAGCGTGACTTGCTTTGCCTTTCAAGGATGCTTTCTCACAATTCCACCTAAGGTTTCCGTTTGGGTTGTGGTTAATTTGGAAATACGATTGGAACCCTGATCTGCCGACTTGAGCCCAGGCATTTCTTTGGTACTGAACCGCGTCGGTTCGTTGGGAGCAACCAACACATTGGAGAAGTGGGCGCCCCCAGTGGTGGTTCCCAGTATGCCGTTCAAAGGGACGGTGCCAGTTTTCGGTGATTTCGCCTAGACAAGATAAGGGGAATTCCCTGCCCCAAAAATTGAGAAACTGTTTGTATTGTTTCTCCTCAGGCGCGGTTGAAGAGTAATTCCGGGCCAGAGAATGGGCGAGACAGGTGTTGAAGCTGGTTGGACAGCTTCAGATTCCAGTTTGACTTTGGACCAAGAAGGGGAAACGGAAGGGAAACACGCCTGCCTCGGGCTGGCTTCCTCCGCTTACTTTGGGCAAGTGAAGCGACCTGACATAGAGTTTCTGACCTTGCCTATGAGGAATGCTCCGTTCTGCAAATCCTTATCTTATGCAGGTGAATGATTCTAGTTCTCCTAGACTTCTGAGAGGTGCTTGTTTCGACTCCAGCCTGCCTGCAACCGTTTGCCCTGCACCAGGTCATGTGAAAACCCAGGCTCGAACCGAGAAGTCTCGTCTTTCCTTGGTGGCTTCCAGCCATTTCCATTTAACCCAACAGTTAAACTGTTAGCAGATCAGAAATCGGGCAGCCCACAAACTCCGAGTCGCAACAAAAAACGACCTGAGCGGCGCCAGGATGGAGGTGCTGGGCACCGGGGACGCCTTGGGCTTCTGCGTGGCCGGCAGCAGCTCTCTGGGCTTCTGGAGCGCCTGGCTGCGCGCCTGGCAGCTCCAGAGCTGCGAGGTCGGGGCTTTCCGGCGGATCCGTTGGGACTCACGCCTTTTTTGTGTGTTTAATTATACTATATATGTACCAGTCCCTGGGCCACGTACCCCCCCCCCCCCCCCAATGGTATGGTCCCCCCACTCCCCCGCATCATCCGCATCTTGGGGATAATGCTGGGGATGCTGTCCAGTACCGTGTGAGCCCTGCAGCTTCGGTCCCAGACTCCCCCTTTCACCCCGTGAACCAACACCCCCGCACCTCTCGCAATATCCTACCCCAAACCAAACCACCCTGCAACCCCTCCTTAACCCCAACCCTAAGCCTAAATCAACCCAAACCCCAAACCCACCCGAAACCCACCGCAAACCAACCCTGAACCAACCCTGAACCAACCCTAAACCAACCCACCAAGCCTAAACCAACTCCGAACCACACCCCAACCACCCAACCACCCCACCACCCCACCACCCCACCACCCACCCCACCCCCACAGGGGGGGGGGTTGGGGGGGGGGGGGGGGGGGGTCCACGGCCTGGAACATATATATATATATATTGTTTATATGTATATGTATATATATATATATACATATATTTGTGGGGGGGGCGGTTGAGCGTCGGGTTGATCCGTGTTGTGCGAAAGTGCACCTGGGAGTGGATTCCGGCCTTTCGGTGTGCCACCGCAAGTTGCAGGCAATTTGGCGAAGTCTATGTTCATTTTTCGCCTCAGGGGTTTCATGGGCTTGGCAGGTAGAACAGTGGGAGAGTCCTTTCGGTTGAGTTCCCAAAGGGCCACGACTGTCGACTCGCCCACCCCCAATGGCTAGGCTCCATCTCCCGGGAAGGAAGCCACGTTTGAGGAGACTGAACAGGAAAGAACTCAGTTGGGGGGTCCCAACCATACGAGAGACTTGGTCAGGCGGGCTGGCCCAGCTTGGTCGCTGAAGAGCTGGAAGCTGACTTGAGCCTGCAGGCGGCCTTGGCTCGGTTGGTTTCTTTGGGCTCGGATGGATTTCCCTTGGAGGGTCCAAAAGCTCAGAAGCATCGGGCATTTGCCTTTTGAGGCTGGTCTTTTCTGGGGCCGGCATGTTCGAAGGAAGTGATGGCTGGAAAGGATTAAACACATGTTCTGAAATGCAGAACTTCCGCAGCACTGGTTTCCATTGTGCTTACCCACAACCATGAGCAGGTACCAATCAAAACAAGACCCGCCCATCGTTCTTCCCTGTTCGCAGTCCCAGCGCAGGCCCTCCCTGGCGTTGGAGTGGTGCAGAATGCCTACCACCACGCAGCATGGCCAGAAGACAGGCAGACAGTCGCCGTCTTTAAAGGGAAACCGCAAGCGTGTCACTTTTTTGGGGGGACCCCCGAAAATGGTGGTTTTCCTTTTGGTTCCCTTCGTGCTTGGCACCCTCAGCACCCTGTAAGCTTTCAGCAAGCCCAAACCGAGCCTTCATCCGGCCCCGGCCCACCAACGCCACCACCACGCAACCCCTTTGCATTAGCTCAAACCGAGCCTAAACCAATGCCAGACCGACCTAATACAACCCTCAAATGACAGAACCGTACACAAAACTCACCTCCAAGCCCTCCTTGAACCTACAACCCAACCAAACCAACCACTAAGTTTGCAGCCTTTGCTCCAATCCCACCCTTAGCCCGTGCGTAACCAACCATAAAGTAAGCTCATGAACCAGTGCTGAACAAACCCTAACCCACCCCAAACCACCCACCCGGAACCCAATCCTAAAAAATACCAAAAGCCAGCCCGACCACTAAACTAAACCAACCTTTGACCAGCCTCAACACCCCCCACCAACCACTCCACGGTGGGTGCGGGGGTGTGTAGTGCAAATAGGCCTGAATGGATCCCGACAATTTATCCTAACTTATTTTATGGCGGCGCAAGCTGCTGTTATGCATAGCAGTGCATGACATGCTGCGCAATCCACATGCAGTGAATGCTATGACACACATGGCTATTCCACATTGCTGAAAAGGACTCATGTATGTATAGAACCGCATCAAATCAGGCACAAGCATTCTTCCCCTGGAGCATGTTGGCCTCGGGATGCCTCTGAAATGAAACTAAACCAAGAAAAGCCTGGTTGACGGAAACTGCAAAGTCTTTTGAACCGGCGGCTTGGTCTGCCATGCAAACTGGTGAAACGAGTTCTGCAGAGCAAGGGTACTTTGACTTCATGCTCTTCTCACTGGACCCATGACATCGGCCGCTGTGCGGTGATTCGCAAAAGCATGTGACAAGATCACCTGCCGCGAGTGTGGTGGTCGTCCGCGTATGCACCATTGCGTCCAGCACGACCAATACCAGTCCTTTCCAGTAGGCTCGTATCTCGTGAGCTCAGTCGCATTCCTCGCGTAGAGGGCTGCATCTTCTGCTTGCTCATAGGCACGGCGCTGTCCAGAGCTTTGTAATTCTGACGGCTTCAGCGTGTCGAGCCTCGCTCCACTTTGCGCGCCTTACGCTCTTACTGATCCTGAGCGCAGCGAAGCTAGGCTGCCGAGCATACCGGCTTTTGTCCGAGCATGCCGGTTCCCCAAACAAGTCGAGGGGCTCAAGATACTTCGCCCTCTCGTGTTCCGTGACGGTGACGTCTTGCGGAAACTTGTTCTTGTACAGCGTGCTTTCCAAGAAGACTGGCAATGTCCCCCCCCCCCAACGCCTGGCTTCATGATATCCTTAGCGGGAGATTCAATACCTCAAGAGCCTCCATGGTGTTCCTTCTCGTTTCCCCAAAGAAGGGGGTGCCATACCTCAGGTGTCCCTGTGGTGGTTTGGATTGGTTCGGATTTCGATTCCAACCTCAACACAAAAAACAAAAACACGCCTCTTTGTGCATTTTGCCCCTCAGGGGGCGCATCATCTCCACGGAGCCGAGCCCATGCTGAGCTACTGGCCCCGTGTCCTCGCCGGCTTTGGCACGGCCGCCGGCGCGCCCAGAAGAGCCCCAGAGGTGGTCGTAGCGCCTTGGAAGGACGACGTGGGCGGTTTTGGATTGAAGCCTTGGGTTTTTTGCGTTCCACTGCTAAACCCTGGACTCAAGTGATACTTTCCAATTGGGTGGGTTCAACATGTTTCAAACTGCGCGTCTTTTGCAGACCAACATTTGGGTGCAGGTGCCCTACGGCACCTTCACAACGAGCCGAACAGCTCGAGTTCCCTGTAAGGCACCACACCCGACTTTCAGGAAAAAAAACCTGAGCGAATCTGACCCCTCCTTTGCTTCCAGCGGCCGCAGCTTCAGCAACAGCCGGATGTGTTTGATGAAAACAATCCAGAGGTTCCATGTTGCCATGCGTTTCGCCAGCGAATGTGCGGTGTTGGAAAGGCACAGGCCCCGTTCTTCCCCCTCCTGTAATAATCAATCCAAATGCGAACATTGCGACCAGCGATTCCCTAACTGCGTCCTTTCGCAGTTAGGGCGCACGATCGAACCAATACTAAACCAGCGCTAAGCAAACATAACCGAGCACCCACACAGTCCGAAAATTGTCACTGGATTCTGCTGTTTCGATTCCTTATTGGAAAGTGCTGAACGAATTTGGGCCCGGAGAGGGGCAGACCAAATTTGGACGCCAATCGAAGAGGAATGAAGAGGACTGAGGAGGACCGAACCGGAACGAACCGGAATTCAGCATCCCCTAGTATCCCGGCCGAAGTTTTGATAATTGGGTGGACCTTTAATGTCCCGGTTACTCCAAAGAGCATTCCAACGAGCACAGTATTTTGCCAAGCTCCCTGTTTGACGAAGCACCACACTTACAATACAACCAAAAAAGAACTTGGGTTCCAAGAAACGACTTCATCATGTGTCTTTTCGCTTGGGTGGTGCTTGCTGGCTAGGTGCTTCCCCAATCAGAACGCCTTTTCCTAGGTGAACCTTGGCGAGGAGGACTTTAAGCAGCCAGGCGCAGCTCTTTTGCGCCTCGAAACGGGTGGCCCGGTGCTTCCATGTACGTAACCAATGGAACCCACAAGCCAAAAGGAACATGGCTTCTCAAAACGGGCATCTGGGATCCACGAATTGTGTCACAAGTTCAATGTTTAGTCTTGTGGGTTTGACAACTTGCATCTTCGTCCAAGTTTGTGTTTCTTCTTGACGGGAGGTACCAAACATCTGTATTTTTTTGCGGCAACCACCCCCACCACCCACCCTCAAGGAAGTCAGGGCAAGTTTGCGTCGTCGGCCTCTAGGTCGAGGCGGCCCTACGAATGTCACCTTCCGCACCATGTACAACAAGCTGCTGCACTCCGTCTGGTCCTCGGCCATTTGAAGCTCGAAGGTGACGCTTCAGCCTTCGAGTTTGAAGGTGGCCTTCGAGTTGACAAGGGCCCGAAAAGAGTCCAGAAAGCTTGCCGTTGGAGTTTACTGTACCAGTGATCCGACCTTTGACCGTCCGAATAAACCATCAGGTAGAATCCTCAATCCGAATCGGTTCGAATTGACGCAAAGCCGTTCAGCCCAGAGGTCATCAACGCCTACGGGGGCTTCCGCGGGCGCCTGGCGGTGCTGGCGCTCGGCGGCTGCGGGGCAGCCGCGCTGGTAGAGGAGCCGACGGCTTGCCTAGCCGTTCCTTTTGTGAGCAAATCCTGAAGGGAGTATAGGGAAACCGAGCAGAATTGCAAATTATTTGAGTAAACGGAAAAGCTGGTGGTTTTGTTTTTTTTGCTTTGTTGTGTTTTGTTTTCTTTCTGATTTGACTTGGTTTGTTTTGTTTTGTTTTTGTTACCCTGCCTTGGCTAGGAACAGAGTCGGGAATCAAGCTGGCGCCTTTCCATGGCAATGTAGGAGGGTTGGGATTCCAAGTACAGAAGCGCAATTCCGCCTGCGGCCATTGGACGTGTAATGACGTGTATTGGCTTGTCCAGCTGGGTTCCAACAAGCAACGCACTCATACACGTTGGGGGCAGAAACTGTGCCCTATGGAAGTGCAGGTCAAGAACATCAATCAATCGAGATTAGTAGATGGACAAATAAATCAAGCCCGCAACAGCTGCAGCGCACACCACCCCCCATACCCCCCCAATGTCAATGTTACGCGGGGCACTAGCGCTTTTCACGTCATAGGGATTTGATTGAATTCGTCCACCCAGCCTAACCCTCCATCTACTGTCTGGGCAAGTAGCTTCTGATTGTTTCAGACTTAGCAACAGATGCTTCTGGGAGCGGCGCTGCGCAGAACGTGGGTTTGCGCTATGCAGCTGACTGGAAGACACTTTGTGACCAGCATTGTTGCCCATGAATTCAGTAAAACAATGTATTCATGGTTCTTTGTTCAAAGCAACTTGGGATGATTGAAAAAACACAGCGAATCCCAAGTAGGTACTGGAAAAGGAACTGGAAAAGAAACGGGAAAGGAACGGGCGCGTTATATTTACAAGGGATTGATTAATTTGTCTACCCACGGTTTCAATCGAGATATTATTTGTCAAACCAGTTTCTTTTCTTTAAGGGTACCCTTCTTGGGGTAATGTTTATAGGGAAACCAAAGGGACAATCTTAAAAAAAAGCCCCGTGTTGTTTGGTTTTGAGTTTTGTAGTTGTTGTGTGTTTTGCTTGTTTGTATGATTTTGTTTATTTGTTTATGTCTTTCGCGCTTCCTTTAGTTCTATCTTTTATTCTTACTTCATCTATTTCGTTATGTATTGATTTACTGGTGTAGTTCCTTCGAAATTGATATATTATATATATATACATATTACATATTCGTATGTCTTTATATGCTTCGTTATTTCCTTACTTCTTCCGTTCATTAGTGCGTTATGTATGCCGTTATGTATGTCGTGTCTTATGTATGTTTAAACACAAAAATATATGTTTGTTTTTTGTGTTTGTTTTTTCTTTCTTTATTTCTTTCTTTAATTTCTTTCTTTTGTTTGTTTCTTTCTTTCTTTTGTTCTTTATTTGATTTGTTGTATTTCTTTCTCAATTGTTTATTTCTTTCTTTTTTTATTTTTTTCTTTCTTTCTTCCTTTCTTTCTTTCTTTCTTTCTTTCTTTCTTTTTTCTTTCTTTCCCTATTTCTCTGTTGTGTCTGTGTTTGTTTGTGTGTTTGCTTGCTTGCTTGCTTGCTTGCTTGCCTGCCTGCCTGCTTGCTTGCTTGCTTGTTTGTTTGTTTGTTTGTTTTGTTTTATTTGTTTGTCTCTCTGTCTGTCTGTCTGTCTGTCTGTTTGTCTGGCTGGCTGTCTGTCTGTCTGTCTGTCTGTCTGTCTGTCTGTCTGTCTGTCTGTCTGTCTGTCTGTCTGTCTGTCTGTCTGTCTGTCTGTTTTCATGTTTGTTTTCATGTTTGTTTGTTTGTTTGTGTTTGTATGTCTTTGTTTATTTGCGTGTGTGGTTGTTTGGTTGCTTATTTATTTACTTATTGTTTTCTTTATTTAGTTTTGTCTTTATGTTGCTCGTGTTTTTTCTTTGTCGTTATTTATTCATTTGTTGTGTTCTATCTTTTTTCCCCTTTACCTTGTTCTTTATTTGTGTGCGTGTTGTTGTCTGTTTTTCTTTTGTTTGTTCTTTCTTTCGTTATGTTTGTCGTTGCTTGTTTGTGTGTCGTGTTTCTTTGTTTGTTTGTTTGTTTGTTTGTTTGTTTGCTTGCTTGCTTGTTTGTTTTGTTTTGTTTTGTTTTGTTTGTTTGTTTGTTTGTTTGTGTGTTTCTTGCGTTTGTTTGGTTGGTTGTTTTTATGTTTAACTGCTTTTTTTTGTAGCGTTGCTTGTTTGTGTGTTCTTTATTTGTTTGCTTCTTTGGTTGTTTGTCTGTGTCGTCTTTCTTTCTTTTCTTCTTATTTCCTTTCTTTCTTTCTTTCTTTCTTTCTTTCTTTCTTTCTTTCTTTCTTTCTTTCTTTCTTTCTTTCTTTCTTTGTTTCTTTGTTTTTTTGATTGTTGCATGTCCCATTTTAAGACACCCACCCACACAGCCATATGTGAACATGAGCCCTGCTGTCCACCCCCGTGTTTTGTTTTACCGCTCTGGGGGCAAGCGAAAGCGTGATATCCAACCAAATCTAAAGTCAGCACGGTTTACAAAGAGCCATTGAGAGCCCACTGAGTTGGGAATTGGCATCGTGAGTTGGAAATCCAACTGGAACGATGGACTCCGAGCCCTCGCTGAGAGAGGAAGCTGTTGGGTACTTCAACGACAAGATCGATCTGCACGCGGACAATGCCACCGTGAGGGTGAAATACTTTCAGCTGCCCTGCCAGGACCCCAACTGGCTCATGGAGGAATGCTGGGCTCGAATGGACCCCTGTTTGGCGAAGGGAGATCAAGCAGAAACAGAGGGACTGGGCGGATTTAATTATGACAAAAACACATACAAACCAAGCAGTCGGGAACAAGTTGGAGACCCTGTACTTCACCGCAATTTACTACTGGTTTTGTGGTTGGACGTGGTTGGTTCAAGCGCAATACTTGGAGAATCCACCGTACCCGCCCTCCTGGAGTTGGCAGGAGATCCCATGCAAACCGACCTTGAGCAAGCGACTAGGACCAAACATGTTGACCTTTCAGGTTCCGCAGGCGATTTGGCACCGGAACCCCTGGGGGGGCTGAGTGAGTGGCGGACAATGGCACTGCTTCCGTCCGTGTCGAGCGAGGCCCGCCCGTTTCGCGAGGTGAGAAGCTGGACGAGGGCTGCTTGGGCTTCCCTGGGCCGGCCCGCCAGGCAAGCCTCGCGCAAGGCCTGGCGCCGGAGCTCAGGCGCGCAGGGAACTCAGTTCACTCGGGTGCGTGTGGTTGAGGGCACCCTCTTTGGGGCGGTGCCAAGGACCACCAACAGTGAAAGCACCGTTTGTTGGGGTCCCCCAATTTGGACGCATGCCCAAACAGCGCACCCTCAAAGACACACTCACAGAGTCTAAGTATGCAGTCACGCATCGGGCTCATTGTCCGCCTCAGATTTGGTCCATCAGCAGAAAGCTTCGCCGGAAACGTACGTTCCCAAGATTGAGAATGGGGCGGGTAATCCAGCTCCTTTACTCGTTCTTGGCCTGCGTTGCCGCGTCGAAAGATTGCGCAGATTGCTCAGATGATTCTGCCATGCTGCAGCACAAGAAGCTCCATCCTCATCATCATCTTCATCATAATCATCATCACGGGCACAATCCGGCATGTGGCAAACCTTATCCCTTCATCTGGGACAACGATGCAAACTACGACGACACCTTGGCATTCTTGTATTTGGCACACAGCGAGAACCTGGATTGGAAGGCGATCACTATTGAGTCCGATGGGATGGGAACCCCACATGGAGGGCCTACAAACATTGCTGCTGTGGCCCAGTTGGTGGGCTTGAGCCATGTTCCCATTGCAATGGGGGGCCTCTCCAGCCTGAGTCCAATTGCAACGATGCCTTTGCAGTGGCGTATCGAGACCGATGAGTTCTTTGAGCGTCAGTACGAGTCCAAGATCTTGAACATGACTGACAAGGCAATTGTGGACAAGACCGCGCCGCAGCTGATTGTGGACATCTTGAAGACATCGGCGTGCCCCGTGGTCATTCTGACCACAGGGCCAGCAACAAATGTCGCGGCCTCAGTCCCAACCTGAGCTGAGCCACACTCATTCAGCCCAGTCGGAAACTAGCTTAGCCTGTGGATCACGAGCACTAAGACCAGCCCCAAGCCTTTCAGCTTCGGCAAGCTCAGGTGGCGGAAGCGCTAGACATGGATCCATCTCTTGCGAGCAACATCCGCGAGATCCACATGATGGGCTCTGCCTACGGTGTGCCGGGCACCAACAATGTCTACGATTGGCAGATGACATACAATGGTGTGAAAGGCTCCTGTACGGAAGACGCGGGCCAAACCTACACCGGCCTTTCCCCTCCACTCATCAAGAACGGCACGAAGAGCTTGATTCGTCCTGAATGCCGAGGAGTTGACATGTCCGCCCATGGCGACACCGAGTGGAACGTCTTCATGGATGTACGCGCCTGGCGTATGGTCTATGGCTTTCTGGCATCTTCTCCTGCAGATGTCTATGTCTTGGCTGCAAATGCCACGCTCAACATGCCCGTGACACTGGAACAGATGGAGTTGTATGCAGCTGGGTTTGAAGCATTTTGAAGCTAGGTGATCCGAATGTTTTAGGATGTTTTTGGGCATAGAGTATACTTCTAAAGTACTACAGCTTTTTGGGTGGATGAAAATAAATGTAAAGCACCGAATCTCCAGTTGAATTCGACAGGCATCGCAGCTGGCGGATCCAGATCTTCGAATCTTTGTTACGGAGCTGGCCAAGGCATTCCTTGAAGCTGGAGAGGCCAAGTGGTGGGATGCTCAGTGTGCGGTCGCGATGGACCAAGTCTTGTCCGGGCAGAGCATCGGGGTTTGCTCCAACTGGGCTGAGAAGAAGAAGACCAGTGTATCCTTGATTTGGCGATCCAATCTCACGGAAGGTGAGCTGAATCCTTATGGCAGCGTCTATGACGATGCTGATGCCCATGCCCCTTTAATTGACTATTGCTTGGATGGCAACGTCACTCAAATGTGGGAGGTGTATTGGCCCCAGGTCAATGAGACCAACTGAGGGCCCCGCCCCAAAGCATAGCAGATGGATCCCATACGAGGCATCTGCTGGGCGGTCATTCACTGCGTAGCCTTTTGCGTAGCCTTTTGTTGGCAGTTCCTGTTCTCCCACTGGCAGAGGCTTCAGTGCGGGCAGGCCACGCTGTCTTCTTTGTGTACGCTTGGCCGACAAAGTTGACTTCGTAGCATTATGCTTTTGGTGCAAATGATGAGATGAGGAAGATGCAAAACTCTTATATTAATTGCCAAGTTTTCCTTGTCAAGGACTAGTTCAGGCCTGGCTCAGACACCATACAATGACACCAAGGCACCTGACACATGTATTGGCGGGGTCCCTATTTGCTCTTTACCTTCTCCCAGTCTAGGAAAAAACAATTCAGTATAATTAGGGTACAAGTTTTGAGGGTACCTCTTTGGGGTGGTTTGAAGGAAAGCCAAAAGGCAAATCACCATTTGTTGGCGCCCCCTGTTTTGACACATGCCCAAACGGCGCACCCTCAAAGACTCACTCAAAGAGTCTAAGTATGCAGTCACGCATTGGGCCAATTGTCCGCCTCAGATTTTGGTCCATCAGCAGAAAGCCCTTCGCCGGAAACGTACGTTCCCAAGATTGAGAATGGGGCGGGTAATCCAGCTCCTTTACTCGTTCTTGGCCTGCGTTGCCGCGTCAGAAGACTGCGCAGATTGCTCAGATGATTCTGCCATGCTGCAGCACAAGAAGCACCAGGAGTGTGGCAAACCTTATCCCTTCATCTGGGACAACGATGCAAACTACGACGACACCTTGGCATTCTTGTATTTGGCACACAGCGAGAACCTGGATTGGAAGGCGATCACTATTGAGTCCGATGGGATGGGAACCCCACATGGAGGGCCTACAAACATTGCTGCTGTGGCCCAGTTGGTGGGCTTGAGCCATGTTCCCATTGCAATGGGGGGCCTCTCCAGCCTGAGTCCAATTGCAACGATGCCTTTGCAGTGGCGTATCGAGACCGATGAGTTCTTTGAGCGTCAGTACGAGTCCAAGATCTTGAACATGACTGACAAGGCAATTGTGGACAAGACCGCGCCGCAGCTGATTGTGGACATCTTGAACACATCGGCGTGCCCCGTGGTCATTCTGACCACAGGGCCAGCAACAAACGTCGCGGCCTCAGTCCCAACCTGAGCTGAGCCACACTCATTCAGCCCAGTCGCAAACTAGCTTAGCCCGGGGATCATGAGCACTAAGAAATCCAAAGAAGCCCCAAGCCTTTCAGCTTCGGCAAGCTCAGGTGGCGGAAGCGCTAGACATGGCTCCATCTCTTGCGAGCAACATCCGCGAGATCCACATGATGGGCTCTGCCTACGGTGTGCCGGGCACCAACAATGTCTACGATTGGCAGATGACATACAATGGTGTGAAAGGCTCCTGTACGGAAGACGCGGGCCAAACCTACACCGGCCTTTCCCCTCCACTCATCAAGAACGGCACGAAGAGCTTGATTCGTCCTGAATGCCGAGGAGTTGACATGTCCGCTCATGGCGACACCGAGTGGAACGTCTTCATGGATGTACGCGCCTGGCGTATGGTCTATGGCTTTCTGGCATCTTCTCCTGCAAATGTCTATGTCTTGGCTGCAAATGCCACGCTCAACATGCCCGTGACACTGGAACAGATGGAGTTGTATGCAGCTGGGTTTGAAGCATTTTGAAGCTAGGTGATCCGAATGTTTCAGGATGTTTTTGGGCATAGAGTATACTTCTAAAGTACTACAGCTTTTTGGGTGGATGAAAATAAATGTAAACCACCGAATCTCCAGTTGAATTCGACAGGCATCGCAGCTGGCGGATCCAGATCTTCGAATCTTTGTTACGGAGCTGGCCAAGGCATTCCTTGAAGCTGGAGAGGCCAAGTGGTGGGATGCTCAGTGTGCGGTCGCGATGGACCAAGTCTTGTCCGGGCAGAGCATCGGGGTTTGCTCCAACTGGGCTGAGAAGAAGAAGACCAGTGTATCCTTGATTTGGCGATCCAATCTCACGGAAGGTGAGCTGAATCCTTATGGCAGCGTCTATGACGATGCTGATGCCCATGCCCCTTTAATTGACTATTGCTTGGATGGCAACGTCACTCAAATGTGGGAGGTGTATTGGCCCCAGGTCAATGAGACCAACTGAGGGCCCCGCCCCAAAGCATAGCAGATGGATCCCATACGAGGCATCTGCTGGGCGGTCATTCACTGTATTCCACAGTATGAGTTCCTTTCATGCGAGCAAATGGAGTTTCGCAGACTGACCATGTTCCTAGTTGTTATTGGCAGTTCTCGAATTGCGTAGCCTTTTGTTGGCGGTTCCTGTTCTCCCACTGGCAGAGGCTTCAGTGCGGCCAGGCCACGCTGTCTTCTTTGTGTACGCTTGGCCGACAAAGTTGACTTCGTAGCATTATGCTTTTGGTGCAAATGATGAGATGAGGAAGATGCAAAACTCTTATATTAATTGCCAAGTTTTCCTTGTCAAGGACTAGTTCAGGCCTGGCTCAGACACCATACAATGACACCAAGGCACCTGACACATGTATTGGCGGGGTCCCTATTTGCTCTTTACCTTCTCCCAGTCTAGGAAAAAACAATTCAGTATAATTAGGGTACAAGTTTTGAGGGTACCTCTTTGGGGTGGTTTGAAGGAAAGCCAAAAGGCAAATCACCATTTGCTGGCGCCCCCCTGTTTTGACACATGCCCAAACGGCGCACCCTCCAAGACACACTCAAAGAGTCTAAGTATGCAGTCACGCATTGGGCCAATTGTCCGCCTCAGATTTTGGTCCATCAGCAGAAAGCCCTTCGCCGGAAACGTACGTTCCCAAGATTGAGAATGGGGCGGGTAATCCAGCTCCTTTACTCGTTCTTGGCCTGCGTTGCCGCGTCAGAAGACTGCGCAGATTGCTCAGATGATTCTGCCATGCTGCAGCACAAGAAGCACCAGGAGTGTGGCAAACCTTATCCCTTCATCTGGGACAACGATGCAAACTACGACGACACCTTGGCATTCTTGTATTTGGCGCACAGCGAGAACCTGGATTGGAAGGCGATCACTATTGAGTCCGATGGGATGGGAACCCCACATGGAGGGCCTACAAACATTGCTGCTGTGGCCCAGTTGGTGGGCTTGAGCCATGTTCCCATTGCAATGGGGGGCCCTCTCCAGCCTGAGTCCAATTGCAACGATGCCTTTGCAGTGGCGTATCGAGACCGATGAGTTCTTTGAGCGTCAGTACGAGTCCAAGATCTTGAACATGACTGACAAGGCAATTGTGGACAAGACCGCGCCGCAGCTGATTGTGGACATCTTGAACACATCGGCGTGCCCCGTGGTCATTCTGACCACAGGGCCAGCAACAAACGTCGCGGCCTCAGTCCCAACCTGAGCTGAGCCACACTCATTCAGCCCAGTCGCAAACTAGCTTAGCCCGGGGATCATGAGCACTAAGAAATCCAAAGAAGCCCCAAGCCTTTCAGCTTCGGCAAGCTCAGGTGGCGGAAGCGCTAGACATGGCTCCATCTCTTGCGAGCAACATCCGCGAGATCCACATGATGGGCTCTGCCTACGGTGTGCCGGGCACCAACAATGTCTACGATTGGCAGATGACATACAATGGTGTGAAAGGCTCCTGTACGGAAGACGCAGGCCAAACCTACACCGGCCTTTCCCCTCCACTCATCAAGAACGGCACGAAGAGCTTGATTCGTCCTGAATGCCGAGGAGTTGACATGTCCGCTCATGGCGACACCGAGTGGAACGTCTTCATGGATGTACGCGCCTGGCGTATGGTCTATGGCTTTCTGGCATCTTCTCCTGCAGATGTCTATGTCTTGGCTGCAAATGCCACGCTCAACATGCCCGTGACACTAGAACAGATGGAGTTGTATGCAGCTGGGTTTGAAGCATTTTGAAGCTAGGTGATCTGAATGTTTTGGGATGTTTTTGGGCATAGAGTATACTTCTAAAGTACTACAGCTTTTTGGGTGGATGAAAATATATATAAACCACCGAATCTCCAGTTGAATTCGACAGGCATCGCAGCTGGCGGATCCAGATCTTCGAATCTTTGTCACGGAGCTGGCCAAGGCATTCCTTGAAGCTGGAGAGGCCAAGTGGTGGGATGCTCAGTGTGCGGTCGCGATGGACCAAGTCTTGTCTGGGCAGAGCATCGGGGTTTGCTCCAACTGGGCTGAGAAGAAGAAGACCAGTGTATCCTTGATTTGGCGATCCAATCTCACGGAAGGTGAGCTGAATCCTTATGGCAGCGTCTATGACGATGCTGATGCCCATGCTCCTTTGATTGACTACTGCTTGGATGGCAACGTCACTCAAATGTGGGAGGTGTATTGGCCCCAGGTCAATGAGACCAACTGAGGGCCCCGCCCCAAAGCATAGCAGATGGATCCCATACGAGGCATCTGCTGGGCGGTCATTCACTGTATTCCACAGTATGAGTTGATGTCATGCGAGCAAATGGAATTTTGCAGACTGACCATGTTCCTAGTTGTTATTGGCAGTTCTCGAATTGCGTAGCCTTTTGTTGGCGGTTCCTGTTCTCCCACTGGCAGAGGCTTCAGTGCGGCCAGGCCACGCTGTCTTCTTTGTGTACGCTTGGCCGACAAAATTGACTTCGTAGCATTATGCTTTTGGTGCAAATGATGAGATGAGGAAGATGCAAAACTCTTATATTAATTGCCAAGTTTTCCTTGTCAAGGACTAGTTCAGGCCTGGCTCAGACACCATACAATGACACCAAGGCACCTGACACATGTATTGGCGGGGTCCCTATTTGCTCTTTACCTTCTCCCAGTCTAGGAAAAAACAATTCAGTATAATTAGGGTACAAGTTTTGAGGGTACCTCTTTGGGGTGGTTTGAAGGAAAGCCAAAAGGCAAATCACCATTTGTTGGCGCCCCCTGTTTTGACACATGCCCAAACGGCGCACCCTCCAAGACACACTCAAAGAGTCTAAGTATGCAGTCACGCATTGGGCCAATTGTCCGCCTCAGATTTTGGTCCATCAGCAGAAAGCCCTTCGCCGGAAACGTACGTTCCCAAGATTGAGAATGGGGCGGGTAATCCAGCTCCTTTACTCGTTTTTGGCCTGCGTTGCCGCGTCAGAAGACTGCGCAGATTGCTCAGATGATTCTGCCATGCTGCAGCACAAGAAGCACCAGGAGTGTGGCAAACCTTATCCCTTCATCTGGGACAACGATGCAAACTACGACGACACCTTGGCATTCTTGTATTTGGCGCACAGCGAGAACCTGGATTGGAAGGCGATCACTATTGAGTCCGATGGGATGGGAACCCCACATGGAGGGCCTACAAACATTGCTGCTGTGGCCCAGTTGGTGGGCTTGAGCCATGTTCCCATTGCAATGGGGGGCCTCTCCAGCCTGAGTCCAATTGCAACGATGCCTTTGCAGTGGCGTATCGAGACCGATGAGTTCTTTGAGCGTCAGTACGAGTCCAAGATCTTGAACATGACTGACAAGGCAATTGTGGACAAGACCGCGCCGCAGCTGATTGTGGACATCTTGAACACATCGGCGTGCCCCGTGGTCATTCTGACCACAGGGCCAGCAACAAACGTCGCGGCCTCAGTCCCAACCTGAGCTGAGCCACACTCATTCAGCCCAGTCGCAAACTAGCTTAGCCCGGGGATCATGAGCACTAAGAAATCCAAAGAAGCCCCAAGCCTTTCAGCTTCGGCAAGCTCAGGTGGCGGAAGCGCTAGACATGGCTCCATCTCTTGCGAGCAACATCCGCGAGATCCACATGATGGGCTCTGCCTACGGTGTGCCGGGCACCAACAATGTCTACGATTGGCAGATGACATACAATGGTGTGAAAGGCTCCTGTACGGAAGACGCGGGCCAAACCTACACCGGCCTTTCCCCTCCACTCATCAAGAACGGCACGAAGAGCTTGATTCGTCCTGAATGCCGAGGAGTTGACATGTCCGCCCATGGCGACACCGAGTGGAACGTCTTCATGGATGTACGCGCCTGGCGTATGGTCTATGGCTTTCTGGCATCTTCTCCTGCAAATGTCTATGTCTTGGCTGCAAATGCCACGCTCAACATGCCCGTGACACTGGAACAGATGGAGTTGTATGCAGCTGGGTTTGAAGCATTTTGAAGCTAGGTGATCCGAATGTTTTAGGATGTTTTTGGGCATAGAGTATACTTCTAAAATACTACAGCTTTTTGGGTGGATGAAAATAAATATAAACCACCGAATCTCCAGTTGAATTCGAAAGGCATCGCAGCTGGCGGATCCAGATCTTCGAATCTTTGTCACGGAGCTGGCCAAGGCATTCCTTGAAGCTGGAGAGGCCAAGTGGTGGGATGCTCAGTGTGCGGTCGCGATGGACCAAGTCTTGTCCGGGCAGAGCATCGGTGTTTGCTCCAACTGGGCTGAGAAGAAGAAGACCAGTGTATCCTTGATTTGGCGATCCAATCTCACGGAAGGTGAGCTGAATCCTTATGGCAGCGTCTATGACGATGCTGATGCCCATGCTCCTTTGATTGACTACTGCTTGGATGGCAACGTCACTCAAATGTGGGAGGTGTATTGGCCCCAGGTCAATGAGACCAACTGA